ACAACTATCCCTCACCTTCACCTCTTATTATAGAATAAATACAAAAATCAACATGCAGTGGAATCTGCAGTAAATTGAGTCTTTTATTAATATACCGGCTGGGCTCAACATTTATTTCCTATCCGTAATTGCCCCCTGGAGAAGGTGGGGCTTGAGCAGTACTGTTGCACCGCTGCAGTCCCCCCTTCTGTGTGGTGCAGGGACACCTCATATGATGCCAATACGAAGGGAGTTCCAGGATTTTGACCCAGCGACGCTGAATGAAATGCTGTTTGTAAACTCAACCCCACCCCCAATAGCCAGGAAATGTTTTAAGCTCAAGGGAGTTTGAGAATTCTGCTAAAGGAAAAGACCAAAATGATATAAAACTAAAGTGCTGGAGAAAGTTGATGTTTCAAGTTCGACAGACCCTCCTGCAGAATCCAAGCAAACAGAAAGTTTACATCAATAAAGAAATGCAGATGCTGGAAATCTGAAACAAACACAGGATTGCTGGGGAATCTGATTTTATTTGATTTCAATTATTGCTGTCAAGTGTACCTAAGCACAGTGAAATGTTTTCTTTTGCTTGCTGTACAGGCACATCATAACCTATAAGTACATACAGATCCTAGGATGATTGAACAGGCCAAGGTATACAGAGTTCTGGCTGCACAGGAGGTGTACAAAACCAAGATCAACAGTAGATGTGAAATTAGAGAGGTCCATTCAGAAGTCTAATAACAGCAGGGAGGAAGTCTAATAACAGCAGGGAGGAAGCTGTTCTTGAACCTGTTGGTGCATGTGTTTAAGCTTCTGTATTTTCTGCCTGATGGAAGAGATTGGAAGAGAGCATAAGCGGGGTGGGAAGCGTCTTTGTTGGCTGTCTTCCCGAGACAAGAGGAAGTATAGATGGAGCCAGTGGATGGAAGGCTGGTTTGTGTGATGGACTGGGCTGTGTTCACAACTCTCTGTCATTTCTTACAGTCCTGGGCAGAGCAGTTGCTGTACCGGGCCATGATGCATCGGGATAGAATGCTTCCTAAGGTGCATCTGTAAAAGTTGGTGAAGGTCCTTACGGATATGCCGAATTTCCTTAGCCACCTGAGGAAGAAGAGACATTGTTGTGCCTTCTTGACCTTCGCATCTACATGGGTGGACCAGGACAGATTGCTGGTTATCGTCACTCTTCGGAGCTCGACCATCTCTACCTCAGCTCCACTGATGTAGGTGGGGGTGTGTCCTCATCCTTTCTTCCTGAAGTTGATGATCAGCACTTTAGTTTTGCTGATACTGAGGGAGAAATTGTTATCTTTTCATCACACTGGCAGCATCTGTAGAGAGCGAAACAGAGTTAACACTTACAGTACTTGCGTTAGTTAGAAACTGTGTTTTTCTCTTTGGAACTGCTGTCCCTCCACCACATTATGTTTTTATTCTTTAGGCCACGCACATTGGCAGGAAGAGTAGAGGAGCTTATTTAAACGGAGAAAGACTGCAGGAAGCTACGGGACAGAGGGATTTGGGAGTCCTGGTCCGTGAATCAGTAAAAGGCCATCGACCAGATTCCGCGGGGAAGGCAAATGGAACGCAGGCCTTTATTTCAAAGGGAACGGGATATAAACGCAGGAAATTTTTACTAAAACGATACATGTCAGACCACAGCTGGGATAATGCGAATGGTTTCAGGGCCCTGCATCCAAGCAGAGATAGACCAGCATCGGAGGTAGTCCAGAGAAGGTTCGCTCGGCTGATCCCGGGGATGGAGGAACAGTTTTATGGAGGAGGGGTTGAGTAGTTCGGGTCCTGTACTCATTGGGGTTTAGAAGAGTGAGAGGCGACCTGATTGAAACATCCAAGATTCACAAGGACGGAACGTGGCAGGGGAGATGAGGAGAGGTTGATCCCCCCTTGTGTGGGAGAGTCTAGGACTCAGAGAGGCGTCATCTCAGAATAAGGCTTACTAATCTCTTGTGTGGGACCTTGTCAAAAGCCTTTTGAAAATAGAGATACACAATACCCACTGATTCTCCTCTTGTATTCTATTTTGCCTTTCCGAATTAAACTCTTTGTCCTCTTCTGCAGAATTTTAAATTCCTCCAAATCCTCAGGTTTGCTGCTTTTTCTGGCCAGTTTATACGTCTCCTCTTTGGCTTTACCACTGGCCCTGATTTCCCCTGTTAGCTACGGTTGAGCCACCTTCCCTGTTTTACCTTTATGGCAGACAGGGACATACAATTATTGAAGCTCATCCATTGTGTTCTTTAAATGTTTCCCTTCCATATCCTTGGCCCATTTATCCTAGCCAATGAATGTCTCATATCATCAAAGTTAGCTTTCTTTACATTCAGCACCTCAGTTTTCAGATTTAATTGTGTCTTTCTCCATCTTAAATGAAGAATTCTACCATATTATGGTCACGCTTCCCCAAAGGATCTCACACCCCAAAGTTGCTTATTAATCCTGTCTCGTTATGCAACACCCAGTCTAGGATGGTCTAGAATTTGCCTGGTGGGGTCTGCAAGGTGGTACCTCTTAATAAGTCCATGCTGATGATATTTTCTGGTATGTTGGACATCAATACCATTCCCCAGGGCCATCCTAATATTTCTCCTGATTACCGAAGTTACCGCCCCACAAAATCCGTTAGTAGCCTTTCCGTGCCCTGCATGTCTCTGTGGATAGTAACTTCTGCCCCGTGTCTCGCTGTACATCGCCTTTCCTCTGACAAACAGTTGACAGGGACATGTGGCCTTGGGTCTCCGGATGTCGCATCCTTACAAAGACCCAGGAGTCCCGGCCCCATCCCTGATCGATGGGCTGAATGGCCTGCCACAAGTGCCCAACCTCCTCCTGGCTCAGGTCCAGGGGCTGTTGAGGTTTACTTATCTGCTTGCACGTCTGATTTAGTCTCTCTTCCTTCCTGTCCCTTTAGAGGGCACTGCGTTCTCCACATATTGTACACAGCGTCCGTAGGTATTCGGTCTATCTTGTTCCTCTCTGTTCTTGCTATCAGTAACGTGGGGAACATTTCCCTTCTGGTTATCTTTTGCTTCACCTTCGAACCTGCCCCATCTCCACCTTGTTGCTCCTGTTTGTGGCTTGCTCGAGTGGGCCTCACTCTTCACTTACCAACCTCCACATCCCCTAACTGTGCTAACACCAAACATACCTGTCCCACTGCCTGTCCCTAATAGGGCGATCAGGGCACCTCTCATTCCAGCCCTGGGCTCTTCACATTAGCCGGCTCCTGACTCTGGCTGTGGAAGCTTCCTGGCTCAGATCCTGAAACCCTGTGGAGAATACATATCCGCTTGCATAGCCAAATCCCTCTGACGTCTTATACCTTCTGGTACGCTCTCCTGTTTTTGCAACATCACCTTCCCAATCTACCGGGGAAGGGTTTTCGTTCCCGACTGCTGTTATCGGTGTATTCCACAACGGTCCGATTGGCCCTGTCTTTCTAAAATACGCTACTCACGTGTGGATTAACACTTCATGCTCCCAGATTCCCTGGCTCTGTGGCACTCAGCATAATGTGAGCGGAGCCCTAGGTCCTATGACCGCGTCAGCCAAGAGGTTCACCCGACTTCTGCTCGAAGCGCAACCCCAAAACCTGCAATTCCGACAGGAAGCAATCTCTCGCTCCTCTCGAATTTTGCGGGTTTTGTCCTCCTATTTCTTTAGCTTTATCCGTTATTAGGGGTGGTGGTATTGGTACCTCTCCTGAGGACGGACCTGGAGGTGAAGCATCCCCTTCCCCATCCGTCCATTCAGACTCTGAACCAGACGAATACCAAATGCCCCCATCCCAATGGTCAGGTTCCCACTGTGAGGTCCAGTAGCGTGCACAATTTGACTGGGTCAACTTCCCAATTGGTGCTGTTTTGTTTTCTTTTCCTGTCATACTGTTGTCGGGTGGAGCGCTACCCAGTTCCGTTTCCCCTCTGTATTGTCAGCTCTCTCCTGCGCTGTCTCAACTGCTTGTGTCACGGCGATGTTTAACGCTGTTCTACTGCTGTCAACGCAGCCTTGAGCTGTCTGCTTCTGGCCTGGCACTCCACCAAGTCCCTGCATGTGGAATGCAAAGCTGTTAGCAATATCCATCACCATTTGCGGCACACCGTCCCTGTTTCTGGGGAAGCTTACCTCCCACAAGCACTCGTGTACAGCAGCCTGTATGAATGACCCTCCTTTCCCTAGTTTTCCAGTTATGATCCCCCCCCCCCCCCCATTCACACGGGAGTCCCAGTGGTGCTGACAAGTTAGTTGCAGGCCCGAATCCAGAGTCTGCCACGTTCCATCCTGGAATACGGAAGGTCCCCCCACCTCTCTGGAGCATCTGCCTTTCCCTCCTCTTCAACGTTTTCCCGAAAGCCATCCTTGTCGCCAAAAGTGTCTTGGATCACAGAGCGCATCCAAGCAGTTCTCCTGGGTTCGGTTATATGCAGGTACGAGGAGACTCAACAACAGCAAATATGCTTAAATGTGGGTGTTTCTCAGGTAATGAAAGAAGAGTCGAAAAGGAAAGGAACGAAACGCAATGAGTCGCAGGCCTTTCTGCCCAACGGGGATCCCCTGATTGACGGCTGGCCTGGAGGCTTAGGTCCCTTCCTGGCACCATCCCAATCCCCGTCCAAGGGGAAGTCCAAACAAACTCGGAACAAAACTCTCTCTCTCTCTTATACAGTGTAAGAAACAGCAAGTGCAGAAAAGCAGCTACAGAAAAACAAGCTGCTGACGCTATCTTCTTCATGTAAAGGAATATTCACCAGACTCTTTCCAGTCATGCAGCTTGTCGAATATCATTGTTAATTTTCCCGGCCTGTTTTCCCATTCTATACAAACAGATGGGCCAATGGGCTGATGGGGGGCAGATGGAGTTTAATTTAGATAAATGTGAGGTACTGCATTTTATAAAGGCAAACCAGGGCAGGGCTTATACGGTTAATGGTAAGGTCCTGGGGAGTGTTACTGAACAGAGAGACCTAGGGTTGCAGGTTTGTAGTTCCTTGAAAGTGGAGTCGCATGTAGACATGGCAGTGAAGAAGGCGTTTGGTACGCTTGCCTTTATGGGTCAGTGCGTTGAGTGTAGGAGTTGGGAGGGTCATGTTATGGCTGTATTGGTGAAGCCAATTATGGAATACTGCGTTCAATTCCGGACTCCCTGCTACGGGAAGGATGTTGTAAAACTTGAAAGGGTTCAGAAAAGATTTAAAAGGATGTTGCCAGGGTTTAAGCTATAGGGAGAGGCTGAATAGGCCTGGTGCTATTTTCCCTGGAGCGTCGGGATGTGCGGATTAGGGTGGGTTGGCTGTGGGAAATTGTCCCGTAGTGCCCAGGGCTGAGCAGGTTAGGGTGGGTTGGCCAATGGGAAATTGTCCCGTAG